TAAACTCAAGGGATTAGAGACCAACTTTGTGCAACCTGTCCTCATAATTGAACCTTTTAACCTTGTATCATTCTGCTGAATCTGCCTCCAGAGCCAATATATCTTTTTGAGGTGCGGTGCCCCAAACTGTACGTTTTAGGCACCAGTCTTCAGTCTATCTTTTGGACCTCCTTCCCTCTACACCTCCATCTCAGCCCCTCTCTATGAATGTCTATTCATACATCTTACCCCTTCTCTATAAACAACTTGCATTTTTATATCGCTATTCACACAGGGTAGCAGCCTGGAGCTCTGGACAGTGGCAAGTCTGACAATGAGCCAGGGGGTGAGGAAGGTCTTTAGGCGGGATTTGACATGGGTGAGAGGGGGCTAGGCAGAGGAATTGAGGGCGAAAGTTCCAGAGTTTTGGGGTGTAGTGACTGAAGGCACGGCCTCCGATGGTGGAGCGGAGAGAAGGAGGGACAAACAGGAGGCAGAAGCCAGCCAAGCGGAGGCAGCGGGTGATGGACTGGGGGGTAAGCAGGTTGGATAGTTAGGGAGGTACGAGGACTTGAAGGGATTTGAAAACAAATCAATCTCCACCCCTCTATCTTGCCCCCTCCATCAGTTGCTACACCTCCATCTCGCTCCCTCTCTTTCAGTCTTTAAATCTCACCTAAAAACCTACTTTTTGATCATACAGTCACCTCACCCTCCTCCCTTGCTCAGCATTCAACCCCTTTGGATGTTTCAAGATGTTATCCTATGCGAAGGATGCCATACAAATGCAAATTGTTGTTGTTCTTAATCATAATAATCCTTATATTTGGTGTAGAGGCTTTCACATTGGAAGCACACCCTCAGGAACTTCACAGGATAAGGGGTGACAGTGTGTTCTGTGGGCAAATAAGGCCGGAATCTATTGAAAGCTCCGTGTGAATGAGTTGAACAATGTTCTGATCTGATGATTTTCTTTAAATAATTATTCTTTTTACCTGGCAGTGTTTATTGTGTAACCAAGTCAATCTTTAGAAATCTGGATTTGGACTCTGGGCTTTGGTTGGACTAATAGAGCTGGGTTTTCAGCCGATCAGAAGCTAGTTTTTCACAGTGGATCCCACATAAACCCGGCAACTTTCGCAAATGGCCTTGCAATATATTGCGCTGTCGCAGACTTTACGCTCAGATGACTCTCTCGCTTCTAACGTTTCCACAGTGTTGACAGTCAGGTTCCCAATTTGTGCGCTCTGTGAAATATTGTTTCCTAATGCAACGCCAAGTGTAACAGCTGTATGGCAATGTAAAATTAGCTCCTCCTAGTGGACATGATCTGTAATAACACACATGACACTTGTTTAACGCAATAAACACAAATTGAAACAATTGAAATAATTCCAAGGTTGGACCTTCCTGAAAAATACAATCTTAAATTGGTCCTCCCTCTCCAGAAAGGGTTGGTGGTTGATGTTGCAAAGCTGCCCACTTAGCACATTGGATTTAACATAGACCACTGTGTGTCAGCTTGTCTCAATTGGTAGCACTCCTCTCCAAGTCAGAAGGTTGTGGATTTGAGATTCACGTTAGCACTTGGAACTCATATAGTCTATGCTCCAATGCTGTATTATTGGAGGTTCAGGTGAGACATTAAACTGAGAACCTTCCTGTCTGTTCAGGTGGATGTTAAAGATCCCATGGCATTATTCGAAAATATAAGGGAGTTTCTCCTGGTGTTCTGACCAACAGTTCCCCAGTAAAATCAATCATTCACTTCATGGCTACTTGTGGGACATTCCGCAAATTGGCTGCCATAATTGCCTACAATGTACACAGTCACTACATTTTAAGGTAAAAATCTGTGAAGCACTTTGAGGAATTAACTGTCACATTTGCCCACAACATGCAGATGTTCCTACAGTATACACTTTACTGTATATCCTGTGAAGTGTTTTGAGATATCATCCTGACATAAAAAGCACTGGATCAAATTTAAGGATTATTACTATGATATATTCCCCAAGGTCATGGAGAAAATTCCCCATCCCTACCCTGGTCTTTATGTCAGTATAATTTAATACAACAAGTTTAAAACATTGTTTCTCAAGCAGCCTTTTTAAGCAAAATGCTGATTGCCCTTACACATTAAACGGCCTTACATCATGTGTTGAAAACACCCTTGGTATTCTGCTTCTATTTTCACAACACATAGCAACAGAAATCCCAGGTAATTAAAATTTGTTTTCAAGTAAGCTCTCCGAGGTGCAGCCCTGCATGAAGGTAAATGTATTTAAATGTAAGTTGTTGTTATTCGCGCCTTAGGTTTATTGCAGGATTGAAAAACCCTCTCATTCTTTATCATCAGTGTTCGCTTTTTACAGAATGTCAAGTGTCCGGCGCGTGCGGAAACTCGGCACCATAATTAAGAGTATCCAAACCAGATTGAGAATTCCATTCACCCAACCTACACATGGAAATGTCTGTTTGGAATGAAATGCACACCCTCTTCTCAGAGGGATGCATCCTGCTTACCTAATTCAGGAGAGGACAAAGTGAGGTTGGCAAGAGCCAAGGCCTGGGTATCCCAGAGTGCGTGTTGTGGTACTGCTGGAGTTTAAGCAGCTAAAACTGCATAGCTTGCCATTGATATTACTGTCTGGAAAATGCCCTGTTGCTTCTGACCAACATACCCATTAAAAGTTCTGGCTCACAGGTTAACTGAGCTGAGTGGGAAGAATCCCTGTTCCCCCCACACCCCCGCCTATGATTAGTCAGTGAATTGTTTCCAGGACACCAGGAACCTCCCTTCTCTTTTCAAATAATGTCATGGGATCTTTAATATTCACCTGAACAGAAACTAAGAGTCTCGCTTTAACATCTTATCCGAAGAACGAACTCCAAAAATGAGACTATCCCCCTACACTGCATTAGAGTGTCAGCTTACACAATGTGAGTTAAAGTCCCAACATGGAGCTTGAACCCACAACTTTCTGAGCCGGTGATGTAAGTGACTTAATAATTGTGTTTCGTACTGTGTTTTTTACATCGAGAGGACTTCTCAAAGCGGAAATACTATAAAGTTCAGTGATTGTGTTTCGTGCGTTCGTGAAGCGGAAAGTCCTTGGTGTTGAACCAATCCTCTACATTCATAGTTCTTTACCTTTAGGTTCTTTATCTAAAGTTCTTTTCCGAAACGTTTCACTTAGGGAACTAGGATTGTCACCGCAGCCGAGCCCCAACACCGCCCAAACTCTACTAAACTCCAAATTGTCAAAGGACAATGCAGACCTGAACCATGTCTTCATGACAAAAGAGAAGTCAGGTGATGGGACCACCTCTTGAGCAGGACAAAGGCTGAGCCCTTGCTCAAGTGAGCTCTGTGTTTCAGTATCTCCACTTCCTCTTAATATTTATACAAGTTACATTTGTAAAGTGCCTTTCCCATTGGGAGGATATCCAAAGGCGCTGGACAGTCAGGGAATTGGATCCGAGCTGGGGGTCGGGATCGGGGAGGATGGAGGATAGGAGGGTGGCCAAAGGCTCAACAACAACAACAACAAGATTCCATTTATAAAGCGCCTTTCACGTCAGGAGGACGTCCCAAGGCGCTGCACAGTTGGGTCATAACCCGAGCAGGGGGGAAATGGTCAGGGTGAGGGGAGGGAAGGGAGGGAGCGAGGAGGGGGAAATGGTCAGGGTAAGGGGAGGGAAGGGAGGGAGCGAGGAGGGGGAAGAGAGTCGAGAGGGGAGCTGAAGGCTCGGTCAAAGAGAAAGGTTTTGAGACCGGCCTTGAAGGAGGAAAGGGAGGAGGCGGCGAAGGCACTGGGGGATGGAGTTCCAGAGCCTGGGGGCTGAGAGGCTGAAGGCCCGACCACCGATGGTAGGGCAGTTGGGGCGGGGGATGTGGAGCAGACCAGAGCCAGAGGAACGGAGGGTATGGGCAGGTAGGTAGGGTGATAGTAGGTCGGAGAGGTAGGAGGGAGCGAGGCCGTGAATGGCCTTGTAGGTGAGGCTCGGCAGCCGATGGTGGAGTGGGCCGAGCGGGAGACATGGTGCAAGCCAGAGCCTGCTGAGCAGAGGGAGCGGACAGATTAATATGGGGTCAGCAGGTCACAGAGGTAGGGAGTGGAAGGCCTTGAAGGTGAGGACGAGGATTTTGAACTCTGTCAAAATTCTCTGGGGGACAGGGAGCCAGTGGAGTTCTAATTGTTCATAACTTGGTATCACTAATGGATTTAATTGCTGATATTCTTCCACTAGATGTCAGCATAACATTTACTAACGAATTTGTATAAAGCACACTAACATTGTACCTAGAAGTAGACAGAACATCATTATTGCATGATTTTTCACCTTGACTCAGTACGGTGCAGCACTGACCATATTGAAGGATTAAATTCTCAGTATCACAATCCTTGTTCCCACAGTGATTGGTAAAAGATCTGTACAATCAAACACCATTCCTTGCTTTTATTAACGTGTAACACATACAGTACATAGAATCATAAAATATTACAGCACAGAAGAAGGCCATTTGGCCCACCGTGCCTGTGCTGGCTCTTTGGAAGAGCTACCCAACCAGTTCCACTACCCCGCTCTTTCTCCATATCCTTGCAATTTTTTCCTTTTCTAGTACCTATCTCATTCCCCCTTGAAAGTTGCTATTGAATCTGTTTCCACTACCCTTTCGGGCAGTGCATTCCAAACCGTAACAATCCTGTGTAAACAAAATTCTCCTCATCTCCTCTCTGGTTCTTTTGCCAATTATCTTGAATCTATGTACCCTGGTTACTGACCCACCTGCCAGTACAAACAGTTTCTCCCTATCTACTCTATCAAAACAACAACAAAATTATATTTGTAAGCGCCTTTCACGTCAGCAGGATGTCCTGGACAGGTTGGGATCAGGATCCCTCATAATTTTGAACATCTATATTAAATCTCCCTTTAACCTTCTCTGCTCCAAGGAGAACAATCCCAGCTTCTCTCGTCTCTTCACATAACTAAAGTCCCTCATCCCTGGTACCATTCTGGTAACTCTCCTCTGCACCCTCTCCAAGGCCTTGATATCCTTGATCTACATGACGACGCTTCTTAAAAATATACACAACAATGAATTAAATAGTGCCAATAACATTACTGAGTAATGGAGTTAGGTTTAATAATCCTTCCATTTGACATCGTGCTTACAAGGTCAAGAAGGTTAAAAGCATCTATTGCAGCACACTGCACTTGCATGATTTGAAGAGAATCGAAGTTGAAGCACTTAACGGCCTTAATCAAATGCACAGCAGAACACTGTGACCATTTGGGTTAGTTTTCTGTTGCGGTAAAGTCAATCTAGCTGCATGTAAGAGCTGCATTGTGAAATGCATTGCATGTAGCTGCATTGTGAAATGTCACAAATTTTACCCCTTTTTCTTCTCTCTTCCTGTGTTTTACATCAGTTTCCTGGGATCCGGGTGTAACCAGACCTTTCAGGCATCCTTCGCACCACAAAGCTGGAGAGGAAATGCCCAATGTTACTTGTTTACAGGTATCAATTGAAAGAGGAGGCACACACACATTCCTATACACTCACAAGTTTCAGATCATAATTCATTTGATGGAGGACTATTGTGATTATCCTCCTTGGGGGAGGTAACCAGTGTCTCCACAGAGGAGCAGAGCAGGCCGGGCGGGGGAACATGGAACAGGCCAGTGCCTGCCGAGCGGAGGGAGTGGTATGGTTTGACTATGCTGCTTTGTAATGTTTTGTATAGTTCAAGGTTTACACATTGCATTTTACTTACATTATAGGAATTATACTTAAGCAGCTGATGATAGTAGACAGGCAAAAGCAGAATCCTGGAAACCAGTCCTTAGTCGATCTGTAAATCTGGATGAAGAGGGTCGAGGCAATGATGCTTGTCAGCGTTAGCAAGATCTGCAGCATGGCAAACATTTTTCCTTCAAATACAACATAGAACACAAAGACTGTAGTGAATATGATTACATCCTTTCTGTCCTTTATCTGTACAAAACTCAACTGTGGAATGGAAAGCCAACAATATTAGCACACCAGTCTAAACATGCACATAAAAACAGAACACATAAACACGCAGGCAAACATAAGTTGAGCCCCACAGTGGTGAGTACAAAGTATGTGCTGATCACAAGCGGCTGAGCTCTGTCTCACTGGCTTTTTCATTTCAGCTACCGGGAGGTGCAGACTGACATTTCAAACAAATGTTCAAGTTGCCTGCCGAGCGGAGGAAGTTGTAAGGTTTGACTATGCTTCTGCTTTGTAATGTTTTGTATAGTTCAAGGTTTACACATTCAAGTTGCCTGAACATACACTCTGGGGTTCCCAAGCCTTGGCTCTTGCCAACCTGCGCCTTATACTCTTTGAAATTAGGTAAACAGGAAGCGTCCCTCCAGGGAGAGAGTGGGCATTCCATTCCAACAATTTATCTCTGGAATTTCTATGTGTAGGTGGGATGTATTAATTCTCAGTTTGGTCTGGATACTATAAAGCATGTTGATGGGCTTCTGGCCAGACACCTGGCTAACCAAAACAAAATACACAGGTAGTTGTTTCTGCTTTGGTGACAATTAAATCTGTCCCTTAATGTAAATAAATCGCACTCTACGATGCTGGCTGCTGAATACTGTATATCGCAGACCACTTCATCCGTAAGTAGCTCTGAAATAGAAATATATTTATATATCGCACAGCAGTGGGATATTTTAGAATGCTCTTATGCATAAGAGCATTCTAAAATATCCCACTGCTGTGCGATAAAAGTGACTTATTCACCAGACTATCTGAGAGGCAGTTATATCTGATTTTAACTTCACAAAAACATGCTGCAATGGGTCGGTATTTACGCACAGAAAACAAGGGAAATAATTTCTAATGTGTCTAAATTATAGTCTCACCCTGAGGTATAGTACCTTTCACAAAGGGGTCAGAGGTACTGGATAATAACATAAAAATACATTTTATATTTTCAAAATGCCACTAACATAGTAGACCATCTGGCCCATCAGATCTGCTCCACCAATACATTTGTTGATGGTGAATAAAGGAACCCGTATGAAGATTCAGTATTTGAATGATCAGCCAATACAGAGACAGGATGCTAATTTATGGCCATATTTGAAAAACACAGCAGGAGGAAAATCTGAGTTACTAACCATAAGAAGTGCATTGTATTTGCTTAGAGATGACCGCTCTTATTGTAGGCAGTGGAATAAGAGCAAACATCATCACAGCTCGGGCTGCAAGTTAAAAGAAATCAGGTTAACGTAGGAAACCTTTCTACAACAACAACAACAAGATTCCATTTATAAAGCGCCTTTCACGTCAGGAGGACGTCCCAAGGCGCTGCACAGTTGGGTCATGACCCGAGCAGGGGGAAATGGTCAGGGGGAGGGAAGGGAGGGAGCAAGGAGGGGGGAAATGGTCAGGGTGAGGGAGGAAGGGAGGGAGCGAGGAGGGGGAAGAGAGTCGAGAGGGGAGCTGAAGGCACGGTCAAAGAGAAAGGTTTTGAGACCGGCCTTGAAGGAGGAAAGGGAGGAAGCGGCGAAGGCACTGGGGGATGGAGTTCCAGAGCTTGGGGGCTGAGAGGCTGAAGGCCCGACCACCGATGGTAGGGCGGTTGGGGCGGGGGACGTGGAGCAGACCAGAGCCAGAGGAACGGAGGGTACGGGCAGGTAGGTAGGGGGATAGTAGGTTGGAGAGGTAGGAGGGAGCAAGGCCGTGAATGGCCTTGTAGGTGAGGATGAGGATCTTGAAATCAATCCTCTGGGGGATGGGGAGCCAGTGGAGGCGAGCGAGGGTGGGAGTGATGTGGTCCCGAAGCCTGGTGCGGGCAGCAAGCATACAGCAAGCATACTAGTCTGATAAATTCACACATCCTTCCACAAACAATCAACAGAAAAAAATAATTTGCACTTTTATAATGTTGAAACATCTCATAATGAATTTGCACTTGCAAGATCCTAGAAACAGCTTTGAGGTCAATGATCAGATTAAACTGCAGGACTGAGAGCCAGAACATCAGGAAAAACTCTCCTTGTTTCAAAGCACCATACAATACATCTGAAGATAAGTTGGAAGAGACCTTGAGATGCTTGACCTGGGTGACAACAACAACAAAATTGCATTTGTATAGCACCTTTCACGTCAGGAGGATGTCCCAAGGCACTGGACAGTCAGAGTTTATGACCGGAACTGTGGGGTCGGGATCGAGGAGTGTAGGAGGCAGGGGGCGAAGCAGGGAGATCAAAAGCACGATCGAAAAGATGGATCTTGAAGGAGGCAAGTGAAAGGGCGTAGTGGAGGGATTGCAGGATGGAGTTCCAGAAGGTGGGGGCAGAGTGGTAGAATGCCCACCCACCAATAGTGGGGCGAATGAGGCAGTGGATATGGAGCCGGCTGAGCAGAGGGAGTGAACAAGATAATAATAATAATAAAATAAATAATAATAATCCTTGCATTTGATAAAGCACTTTTCACGTCTTCTAGACATCTCAAAGCGCTTCACAGAATAGACTGTAAAGTAAATTGACTGTATATTTGTTGGCGAAATGCGGTGGCCAATCAATCACGCACAGCAGTGTCCCACAAACAGTCGTGGATTGAAAATGACCAATTTATTATTGTTTTGTTTTGGAGGGAATATTATCAGGTGTGTGGAGTAAGGAAACTTACCCAAGGTTTTGCCCTGCCTGGAATTGAACCCAGGTGTCTCGCTTGCAAGGTGAGTGCTCTAACCACTGAGCTGTAGAACTCCACTTTGGTAGGGGGTCAGGAGGTCGCAGAGGTACTGGGGAGCAAGACCATGGAGGGCTTTGAAGATGAGGATCAGAATCTTGAACTGTATCCTCTATGTGATGGGAAGCCAGTGGAATCGGGCGAGGATGGGGGTGATAGGGTTATGGAGACTGATGCGGGAGAAATGCGGGCTGCAGAGTTCTGGATGATATACAGCCTATGAAGGGAGGATTTGGGGAGGCCGACAAGCAAAGAGTTTGCAAAGTCGAGCCTCGATGTTATGAATGCGTGAATGAGGGTTTCGGCGGCCTGCGGTGTGAGACAGTGGTGGAGCCCGGTGACGTTGCGGAAATGGGGGAAGGCAGAGCAGGTCGTGGCACAGATGTGGGGTAGAAAGGATAGTTGAGGGTCAAACAAGACCCCAAGGTTCCAGACTGGCTTAGTAAGGTGGAGTGTGCAACCATGGATGGTGATGGTGTCAATGCCTGAGGTGAGGAGGCGCTGACGGGAGCCAATCAGGAGAACCTCGGTCTTGTTGAGGTTCAACTGAAGAAAATTAGCTCTCATCAAGGACTTCATGTCTGATGACAACAACAACATTTATACAGAGCTCTTCACGCAACATAGAATCCTGGAGGGAGACAGCAACAGACGGATTTGATAGCAGTTACTTATGAAGTGCTTTGACATACTGCAACATTAAAACACTATATGATGAGCATTAATTATCATTTTATGACTTTATAAGATGCCACTATCAAAACATAACCTCTCTCTCATTTTAGTTGATTTAGATGCTTTTATATTTGCCAGATGGTCACCCAAGCCAGGGATGGGAACCCAGGAGGTGGGAAAGGGAAAGATGATTGAAAGCTCAGTCAAAGAATTATAAGATGAGCTTGCATTATATGGAACCCATCTACCACCTCACAAAGGAGTCATCCTGTATTTTCTGTGAACTTTCTGTATACACGCTACAACTTACATAGTTTTAATGTCCAAATACATTTGCTATTTCACTAAAATCCATGAATGGCCTCAATTGACAGCAGGCCATGCAGCTTTGACCTTGAAAATACAGTTTGTGTAAAGGATGATGGCTCTTACCAATAAAAAAGAGGAAAGTCCACTTCACGAATGCCATGATCAGTATCCCTGAGGAAAAGGATACCATTCCGATCACTATCAAGGAAGTATTCTTCATACACCTGGAAAAGAACCTGACTCCCAAGTAACTGGTCATGAATGTGCAATATCCTGCAGCATTCCCATATCCAACCCAGACAGCATTCCAACTGAGAGGCTCCTTTAGCACAAATATGGACAGCACATCTATTCCACCTGTCACTGCTAACTCAAACAACACTCCACCCGCAAGCAGCAGCCCAAGAGTGAATATATCCACAGAAACACTGCTTGCAATTGGAGAGCTTGTGTTGTCCTGGTCATCTGGTAATCCTGAAGTCTCCCAGGGAGTCCTGTCCACAGTTCTCGGGTATCCTTGCCCGCTGTCAGCCAAACAGTTAGATGTCTCAGCTGGGGATTGCCTGACCGATGGTGATCCATCTGAAGGCTGGCTTGTGTCACCTGGTCCAGGTTCAGGAAAGCCTCTGCTATCAGGCTGCTGGTTCCTCAGAGTCCCGGGTTCTGACTGTTCAGGTGGGACCTTCAGCACAAAAATGCTATAAAGCAAGCTTAAAGTGTAAAGAACAAGACAAAGACAGACCAGGGCAGCACCCTGATAATGGGAGATCTTGAAATGGATAAAGATGTGACCAGATGCCAAGCTTCCCAGTAAGCCTGATAGCCCATAGACCAGCTCAACTGTAATGAGCTTGGTGGCCCTGCTCCCTTCTGAGGAAGTAACTGAGGCTATAGCCATGATACCGGTCCAGTAGGCAGTGAAGCCACCACTCACACCGTACAGTGCAGCCGCTCCGAACATCACCTCTAAAGGCAGCCTGAGCAAGATAGTGAGGAGAAGCAGAGCCCTGGAGATCAGATAGCCCAGGAGAGGCACACATATGGTGAGCTTCCTGGAACGGCGGTCTCCCAGCCTGGCCAGCGTGCAGGTGAAGATCAGGGAGGTCAGGCCAGCCACAAGGTTGTAGATCATGTAGAAGTGAGACACCCCTCCCTGGTAGCTGTGCTCCTGGCCCCTGAGGGTCGAGTTCAAGTTGCAGAGTTCCTTCACCACCATCAGCAGAGCAGTATCATACAGAGCACTAGCTATCTGGCTACAGGCTACAACAGGCTCGATGAGAGAAATCAATTTCGAACACATCCTCACTCACAAATTAAACCTCCGCTTTATTTTTGGTGCCTTTTTTTTCTTCTCCAGCCTTACTTTACAAACCGGTCTGGCTGCTATTTCCCTTCAGTAATTCTGCAGAATTAAGCGTTTTTTTTCCTTTCTGAAAAGTTTCACTGTTTCTGGTGTTTCTGCATTTTGAGGATCAGTTTTCCATCCATCATGCTGGCTGACACCAAAGGACAAATAAAAAAAAAATTGATGACCCTATGTTAATGTTTCTGATCGCAGACCTCGCAACATTGAATTTCCTGTTTGATAACTATCTTCTTTTTTTACTGACGCATATTTGTAAATATCTAGAACCTCCTGGGATTTGTAATTAGTAGTAGGCGTATTTGTGTGAAAGAATGTAAGGCTTAGTCTTATCCTGGATGATTTCAATCTACGTTACGCCCAACCTGTTTGTGACTATTCCAAATATTTGACTCTTATGAAACATGCAGATTTTTTTCTAAAGCTAGAATCTAGTGTGTGAAGCAGAATTAAACCTCTTTTCAAAATACAATAGTGATTTATGTTTTTAACAAACATCGCCTCCATTGGCATTGATTATTTTAATTTTGTCCACCAGACCATTTTCTCTCTTTTTCAAGATTTACTGGTTTGTGGAGTCCTGTAGCTCAATGAATTATTATTATTATTATTTTTAAGTCCTGTAGCTCAGTGGCTAGAGTTCTCGCCTCACAAACGAGAGACCGAGGTTCTTTTCCCGGCAGGGTGAAACCTTGGGCATGTTTCCTTTCTTCACATGCCTAATAATAATCCCTCAAGAAAAAAAAACAATAATAATTTGATCACTTCAGTCCACGATTATTTGTAGGATACTGCTCTGAGCAATTGGCTGCCGCGTTTTGCCCACAAAAATGCAGTCAATTCACTTCACAGTATATTCTGAGAAGCACTTTGAGACATCTAGAAAGCATTAAAAGCACTATATCAAATTCAAGGATTATTAGTATTAATGTTACCTTCAAATTTTTTTTAAAAAAAGTTTAGTCTGAGTACCTCCCCATCTCTCTGATCTTCTCAAACACATTCCTCTGCTCAGCTAACATGGACCTGCTGCATGTGCTCTGCCTCCTCTGTACCACTATTATTGTTGAACCTTCAGCGATTATGTTCTTAACCTCTGGATCTCTCTGCTCCATCCCTCTGCTTCACGTCCTCTCAACTGGTCTTTAAATCCCACCTTAATACCTTTAGGTTGCCTATATTCCCCTCCCCCTCCCTCTTGTTCCTTGCTCAGCGTCTGACCCAATTACTCAGAAGCCCTCTCAGACTTTATCCTACATGAAGGGCACTCTACAAGTTCAACTTGTCTTGTTAATTTGGAAATTGTTTTCTACAGTGTTTAAAAAGGGCCACAGGTCTTCCTGTGGATTATTTTACATAAAACTAATTTGGGTGATAGCATGGCTCTATGTTAGGAGAGAGCCCCACGGCACAGAATTGGGTATTCATTTCACAACATAAGGATAGCAAAAATTAAATCTTTAGCTTTGATTTTGCATTGAATCATCTATAAAGCAATTGTTGTCAAGTGTGGTGACTTTGGTTTTGAATGCAAAAGTAACAGCCAATTGGCACACAGCAAAGATCCATAAACAGCTAAGTAGTGATTGATCAGTTTATTAGGATTGTTGGCCAGGATACAAAAAGAACCTCTCTTCTCTTTTCAAATAGTGTCTCAGGATCTTTATCATTCACCTATACAAGCAGACAGGACCTCAGCTAAACACTTCATCTGAAGGATAGCACCTCCGACAACTCAGTGCTCCCCCAGTACTGAACTGGACCGGAGTGGCAACCCAAGCCACAACATAAGGTTTGAACCCACAACCTTCTGACCCAGAGCTGAAGGTGCTAACCGACAAGCTGGTTTGTATGGGAAGTACCATTTTGAGAAATGCCTATAACATTAAAAGCACTTTATAGATAATTGCGTTGAGTGCACTAACTTGATTTTTTGTCAGCAAATGACCTATTGGTTTTGCCTTTACTGCCCTATTTGGTAAATGACACCAAAAACCTTACCAACGAAATACAAGTAGGTCCACTTGACAAAGCCCATGACCAGCATCCCTGCGGAAAAGGACAGCATTCCAATCACGATGAGGGAGGTGTCCTTCACACATTTGGAAAACAAACAAATGGTAAGGAAGCTGGTGAAGTAGATGGCGTACTCTGAGGCATTTCCATACCCAAGCAGGACGGCATTCCATTTGAGAGGCCAATTCAGCACAAATATTGGCAGCACATCCATGGCCCCTTTTGTAGCCATGTCATAAAGCACAGCAGCCCCAACCATGAACCACAAAGTGCCTTTATCTCCGTGACCATCTGCCCACCAAGAGCTCCAATTGTCTCGGATGATTCCATCGAATATCCTTGATACAGCTTTGCAGCACTGTCCATTCACACATCTTCCATTTTTGTCATCCACAACTCTTGCAGTTTTGTGTTCAGTTTTCTCCACAGGTGGTCTGTTTTTGTGTTGAATGTCACCTGTTACATGCTCATGTTTAACCAAATGTCCTGCGCTGTCGCATTGCAGTTTTTCAGTAAATGTGTCACTTTCCTCGTTCTGCTCTTTGTCACCTTGTGGTCCAGATTTTTGTTGTTTAGGTGGTATCTTCAACACCAAAATACAATAAAACAGGTTGACAACATACAGAGCAAGGCTGAGAGCTACCAATATGATGCCATGGTAATGTAATATCTTTAAATGGAGGAAGATGTATCCCGATAAGATGCTTCCAACAAATCCTGCTAATCCATAGGCAAAATCGGTCGTGATGAGCCTGATTGATCTTCTCTTCTCTGAAGAGGTGCTGCAGACCAATACTACAACTCCAGTCCAGTAAGTGGTGAATCCTCCACTCAGACCATCCAATGAGGCTGTGGCAAATATCACCTCCAAGGGCAGATCGAAAAAGATCACAAAGAGAAGCAGAGATCTGGAGATAAGGCAGCCCAGGAGAGGCACAACAATGATGATCTTTCTTGACCTGAAGTCTTCAAGCTTTGCAAAGTAGAAGGTGGAGAAAAGGGTGATCAGTTTCGACAGAATGTGGTATATCATGAAAAAACGAGTCATACCATCCTGATGTTTTTCCCCTGCACTGATATTAGTTGGTGTAGAGTTGTAAGCAGTTGAGTTTATAACTTCATATCTTTCTTGGACTACAATCAAGAGAGCAGTGTCAAAGAAAGAACTGCCAATCTGGTTCAAAGCGACCACAGGCTCAATGAGGGTACGCACAAATTCACACATCTTTACTAACGATAGTTAGAATGGTTTGGTTCAGTCCCTTTTAAGCACTTGAATACATGAAAATAAAGACTGTTCATACCATATGTCCTGCCATGACTATTACAGGGAAGTGATGAATGACTCACTAACCCGTTGAATAGTTTTTATCATAAGGAGAAAATATAACTTCCCTGTTCCAGAAGAAAACTTATTTTAATGATATGCAATCGAGAAGTACCATGAATATTCATTCAAATCGTTAATTTGAACTTGTTGGGTTAATATTCATTGCCAAGAAATGGGTTAATGTAAATTTTATTTCACCGCTCTGCTCAATTCCTGATCGGAATTAAGCTTTGTACCGAGACCTTGAAAGGAGGAGAGAGAATTGTTTTTGAGGGCGGCAATATTAGGCAGGGATGTCCTGCCAGGGGCATTGACAGGGATATGGTAACTGCTGCTGACTTACCCACTCCCCAGCTGCAAGAACAGGTTAACCAGAGCATCACTCTCTGTGCAGCATTGTAGTGTTGTAAGAGATTTGGATGGAGAAGATCAATATGGTGGTGTAATAATCCAAGGTTTGTTAAGTAATTCAAATATTTTAACTTATTCTTAACTTACACTCTTGCAATACAGTTCCTTCATCTCAATTGACTAGTTCACAAACTTAGCTTTTTGAAACCTATCTATATGACTTACTCAGTTAATCCTAGATCAATTACACAGTTTCCTCCTGGCTGGCTCACCAACTTATTTGAGATTCGGATGAAGACGTTACAAGATGTTCAGAGAAGTGAACATCTTCCCAGGAAAATATGGAATGTAATCAGAAGCTGACCTCAACCCATCCAGCAAAGCTAATTTTAACCCCTGCTAAGCTAGTTATTAAATCAAACAAACCTCATTAAAGGATTATGGAGTCCTGTAGCTCAGTGGTTAGAGCACTCGCCTTGCAAGCGAGACATCTGGGTTCAATTCCAGGCAGGGCAAAACCCTGGGAAACTTTCCTTACTCCACACGCCTACTAATAATCCCTCCAAAAACAACAACAAAAAAATTGGTTATTTTCAATCCACGACTGTTTGTGGGACACTGCTGTGCGCAATTGGCTGCCACATTTTGCCCACAAATATACAGTCAATTCACTTTACAGTATATTCTGTGAAGCGCTTTGAGATGTCTAGAAGACGTGAAAAGCGTTATATCAAATGCAAGAATGATTATTATATTATTCTTATTATGGGTAGGTTACATTCTAAATGTACATAAAGATTCATTAAAAGCCTTAAAACCATTAAACATCAGGAATATAATTTTACAGTGTGGCTCACAACTGCAAGCTCTCACCAGGTTGACTGAGGCAGCGCAGTGGATGACAGCAAGATGGGCTGGGCTGGAGGTATGAGTTACACCTCCAGGAGGTCAGATTAGGTAAGAGACAGTGTGGAGAGCATGAGCCATGTCTGGCAGCAAAACAGTTTAATTTTAGTGGTGCTGAAAAATGATTTTTGATGCATTTATTGATGAAATTGCATTTTCTGGATTTCTTATCACATATTGAGTTGGAGAAATGCTAAAGTATATGAAATAGAATCACTTAGTGGAATCAACATTTCAAAAAGTGGGTTATTGCTCTTTGTATTTTCTTAACATGATCAGTAACAGTCTGTGAAGAACACTTATTCTCAAAGATGAGTCTCATCAAAAACTCACTCAGATCTACCATGATCCAGGACAGATTGAATGCACTCCCAATAGTGTCCATTGAGCATGATTTGACATGTACACTAAGGTTTGATATGTAGTTGACATGTTTGCAACGATGAAGTCATGCAAAAAACTATTTGAAAAAGCTTTTCTTGCATATTTTGCGTTCACAGTTCAAAGGGTATATGCCCACTTAGACATAGAAATTTCCCAATGTTTGCAATCGAATGTAAACTCTCTCCCTTCAGGAATCCACTCTGTTTACCTAATAGGGCATAGACGGCAAGAGCCAAGGCTTGAGTCTCCAAAGTGTGTATGATGATACTGCTAGAGTTTAATCAGCTAAAACTATATAGTTTACCTTGAAAGCAATGTCTGTCAAGTTTCCAACAACTTGTCAACTGTTGATAGACACACCCAAACATGAATTTCAGATATTCCTTGAAGATATGTCTCAGTGACTCACATAATACTAATCCTTGCATTTAATATAGTGCCTTATCACATCTTCGAGACGTCTCAAAGCGCTTCACGGATTATACTGTAAAGTGAATTGACTATATGTTGTAGGCAAAATGCAGCAGCCAACTGCGCACAGCAATGTCCCACAAACAGTCACGGATTGCGTCACCAAATTATTTATTTATTTTGAAGGAATTATTACCGCCAGAAAAGTGATCTGCCAATCGACTAACAAGTGGGTTCCTACTTACTGCTAGGTAAACAGAGGCGTGTGGAGTGAGGAAAATTGCCCTGCCGGGAATCAAACCCCGGTCCTCTCGCTTGCGAGGCGAATGCTCTAATCACTGAGCTACAGGACTTATCTCTTTAAACCTCATGCTCCAATACTTCAACATTGAAAAAAATAAATCAAACCTTCTCAATTCATATCATTTTTTACATGACATGTTTAGAATTGGTAAAAACATATTAACAATTAAACATACTTTTTTTAAACAAAGTTGCTTTGAAAGATTTTTAAACAGGTTACTAAAGGAAAACTAATCAGTAAACTTTCCTACGCTCACAACAATCTAAGCCTTTTGATAAGAAAAAAATGCAGGTGCAGTATTTGAGAAACAGGTTGTGGTAGCTTTCATTGACAGAGAGACCTGAGGGCATGTTTTTGCTTGTGAACCTAAGGTTTGTTTACACAGGGATGACAAGGAAGCAGGAAGTGTGATTCGGTTAGAAAACTTCTGTAATGTAATTTTAGATGCCACATGGAAAAGTGATACTGACTAAAGTACCGCAAAATATGTCAGTGTTTTGCAGCAGTTCCCCAAACCTCCAGGTGGGAGGAGACTACCGGGTACTGGCTGATCATCTGACAGCCATTCTGAGCACATATCATTTTCACTGGTTGATGAATTGGTGATTAAGTGGACTTGTGAACTTTCCAGTTTCTCACTATGAGCTATGTTCTTTATGCACATGCACAGTGCTTTGAGCATGCCCAGGGCATGGGGGATGCTGGGAGTTGTAGTTCTGTGGGCAGTAACCAGACATTTAGTGTTGAGTTAGTTCTTCAAACTGGGCACGGTATGAGATCCCTTAAAACTGGATTTTCCAGTTTAAAACTGGACAGTTGGCAACACTATAACAAACCGGCATAAAGGCAGGATTTTAACAGACACGTGTGGATGAAGGCAAAAGATATTCCGTTCACACTAAGGTTTGCTTTAAAATGGCATTCAGGCTTGACTACGCTAATTCCTTGCTTGTCAGCCTTTCCAACTCTTCCTTCCACAAGCTGCAGCTTGTCCTTGCGTTCAAGGCCCTCCATGTAGTTGCTCCTTCACCTGCGGGTTACTCCAAGGATCCATCCGTCAACAAGACAGAAGCCATACTCTTTGGCTCCCACTGACATCTTCTGTCCCACGGTTCCGACCTCCTCAACCTACCGGACCTGTCCTTAAAATTCTCTGAACCCGAGCGCAATTTAGGCGTCAAATTCGATCCCCAGTTATCCTTCCTCCCCCACAGGTCCCTGACCAGCACCACTTTCTTCCATCTCTGCTACATTGACAATCCCTTACACCAAAAGCTGCCGAAACCCTTGTCCATGCCTTTGTCACCTCTCGGCTGGACTACTCTAACCTCCTCCTCGCCGGTCTCCTCTCCTCCACTATTCACAAAATCCAGGTCATTCAAAACTCCGCCTCCCGCATTCTCACCTGCACCAAACTCCATACCCCGATTACCCCAGTCCTTGCCAGACTCTACTGGCTCCCTGTCATAGAGCGGATCGACTTCAAGATCCTCACTCTAGTGTTTAAATTCCTCCATTCCTTGGCACCTCCCCATCTCTCTTACCTCCTCTGTCCCCACAGTAATACTTGCTGCCTCCTCTCTACTGGGTCCGGCCTCCTCCTCCCCACCCACGAATCCTCCGCTCCACCATCCGTGGTCGTGCCTTCAGCCATTACTCCCCGAAACTTTGGAACTCCCTCCCTCAACCCCTTCACCTCGCCCACTCCTTCCCCATCTTCAAGTCACGCCTGAAGAACTTCCTTTTCGATCACACCTATAGTCACTTTCCCCTCCACCTGGCTCAGCCTTGGGCTCCACCATTGTTAAGTGCTCTGAGATGCTGCCGGAGTGGAGGGCGCCATACAAGTGCAAGTTGTTGTTGTTTTTGTTCCTACCTTTGTGGCCTGCTGACTGACCCCCTTATCAACCTGTCCACTCCCTTCATTCAGCGGGCTCCAACCTGCTCCATGTCTCCCACCTGGCCCATCCTACCATTGGCAGGTGGGCCTTCATAGGATGCACTGTATAGTGTAGTGACGGTGTATTTTGTGGGATCATTTTGTGGGAGTGTATTTGAAGAATTATTAGGATGTTGAATGGATTACCACATTGAAGAGTTGTGAATTATTTCATTCAGAAGGGAAGGCTGACATTCAGTTCCTGGGGAAGGGGAGGCACTATATTTGGAGATTTATAATAATCCCTCCAAAACCCCCAAAAAATGATAAATTGGTCATTTTCAATCTACGACTGTTTGTGGGACATTGCTGTGCACAATTGGCTGCCGCGTTCGCCCACAAATATACAGTCAATTCACTTTACAGTGTGTTCTGTGAAGCGCTTTGGGACGTCCTCCCGACGTGAAAAGCGCTATATCAAATGCAAGGATTATTATTATTATTATTAGATGCCGTACATTGGGTGAGATGTTAAACCAAGGTACTTGTTCAGGTGGACTTCAAGGATCCCATGGCGCAATTGGAGAAGAGAAGGGAGTTTCTCTTTGTCCCCCTAGACAAAAAAAAATGGTGAGTTACTTTGTGGCTATTTGTGGCCCTTTGCTGTCGAAATAATATACACTTTGTAAGACCATGTCATGTTTTTATACTTATGTTATTATTGTGCTTTAAATTCAGATGGAAAACTCAGTAGCTCCAGTCATACAACAGTAGATATCCATTCAGATGGCCTGGGATCAATCCAATAACTCCTCAACTATAATTTAAACACAGAAGTCCCTATGACAACAGTGCTTGGAAAAAGCTTTTGTGCAGACAATGGTGGGTAAGATCACATTTAATTTTGCATCAGCTGGTTTGCCTCTGGGTTAGGGGGTTTCTGGTATTGGTGCCCCTCACCAAGACCTGAGCTTGGAACCTAGGCTGACACTCCTTTGCAGTTGTGAGCACAACCTCCATTGCAGTGTAGTGCCATCCTATGGATTTTAAAACACGAAGCTCTGTGCCGATAAGGAGCCATGGCCAGTTCAGGTCAAGATACCGACCTATTATTTTAATGATTTGTGTTTTTTTAATTTTCTTCGTAAAGTTTTCCTTACTGATTTCTGTTATTGCTCCAAGGAATGTTCTAAATGTGTAACAATATAAAAATGCGTGGGAGACTACCCCATAGGGGTCGAACCCGTCCTTATGGATGTCTCATTGTCCTATGTGAAGGGGTTATATGAATAAAAGTTGTTATCGTTGACTAAAGGCCATTCAGTTTGACATTAGCATGAGCTCTTTCATTAAACTCATCTACAGGCTTAGTAGAGATCAGTCTCAATGCTGTTGTAAAGCTGTCAGTGATTAACTAACTCTGTAACAGGTGGGTGCTTTAGTACAATGGCATTAATAATGAACGTGGAATTCATATAGTCTAAGATGACATTCCAATTCAGTGCAGGGCTACTTTATTGGCGATGCTGTCCTTCGAATGATATGTTAGACCAAGTCCTCTATTTGAAAAGAAATGTGAGTTTCTACTGGTGGTCTGTTTAGCCGTACTCCAAATAAAATTGGTCATTCACTTCCTGGCAGTTTGTGGGACATTTCTGTGCCCAAATTGGCTACTGTGTTCACCCACAAAATACACAGTAATACCACTTTGCAGAATAATAATAATCCTTGCATTTGATATAGCGCTTTTCACATCTTCTAGACGTCTCAAAGCACTTCACAGAATATACTGTAAAGTGAATTGACCGAATATTTGTGAGCAAAACGTGGCAGCCAATTGCGCACAGCAGTGTCTCACAAACAGTCGTGGATTGAAGTGACCAATTTATTATTGTTTCTTTCTTGAGAGATTATTATCAAGAGCGTGGAGTAAGGAAACTTGCCCAAGGTTTCGCCCTGCCGGGAATCGAACCGAGGTCTTCTGCTTGCAAGGCAAGTGCTCTAACCCTGAGCTACAGGACTCCACAATATATCCTTTGAGGTACTTTGGGACATGTCCTAACATGAAAGACGCAATATCAAATTTAAAGGATTATTTCTCCAAACAGAGAGAGACAACTGGTATGACTCAAACTAAAATGGAAGCGTCTCCTGAAACAACAGGACTTCCTCAGTGTTCTTGCACATTTAAGAGTGAAGTTGGGGTGTATTTTGGAGCTAAGGCTTTTGAAACACGATGTGTCAATGGAGGGAAATTATGAAATTAAACACATGAAAGGCTGGGTGGTTTGAACACATTTTTCTGCATTAGGCTTTGGGTGCACCTCTCGTATTCAACTCTGTGAAACAAAAGTGGAACCATTCCACACACGAGGACACAAAGATTGAATAAACACAATAGGGAAATATTAAGCAAAGCCAGTTTTTATTGCAACGTAGTCCTGCATAGTGATATATATCTCTGGTACTCCATTGGAGCTCTCCTTACAAAAATACCAAGCCAATATTCAATTTAAAATATATTTATAATTCCATAAAGTTTAGGCATTGTGTGGATAACTACATAATAAAAGTTCATAACACGAGTGCTAGAAAAACAAGGTTTCAATACTTTGGCGTTACCAACAAAAACCTTAACAGCTTCCAGCTATTCTGGTGGAGCAGTCATGTAATGAGTCATTGCAGGTTTGATCAAAAAGGAATTCCTACCTGACTGACTGAAGACTGAGATTTCTGTCAATGATTAATACCCAATATTAGAACATCTTACATTATCAAATACACCCTATTACACACTACAATAACATACGCCCTATATTATCACACTATATATTATCACATGTATCCTATAATACATCCTAAGCTATCACATATACTCCATATTGCAACACACTCTGCATTGTACCACTCTTCATTATACCCTTTATCACATATATACCATACACTATAACATATTCTAGATTATCCAGTACACCATAACACACCTGACACTACCACACACCCTATCATTACATATTCCCTATTTTATTATACACACTCTGCTTCTAACATGTTATCTCACTACACTGTCACACACATTACCAGACATGTCGTACATTATCATTCACAATTGTTCCTATTTCCTACCTGCTGCAATTGAACAATTCCTTAGAGTGGTTAGACAATTGTGTCAAAATGTATTTGTGCCCATGGTGAAATTTCTTTCTCCATTCCAAGACTGTGAACCATGAATTATTTGTAAGTAGGAGGTGGTGAAATTCTTCAACCACCAGATCTAAAGACTCGCTTTCCTTCAGTCACTGTAGATGACAAAGAGAAGAAACGTGCCATGGAAGCTGGACTCACCTCAGTTCTGACCATTTAGCTGAGAAAATATCAAGCCAAAGACGAGAGAAGCTTTTAGGGCAACACAACCCACAGTAAACAAACTGAAAACAAACCTTTTAGGTTTATCATGTGCCAAATCCTCAAAACTGAGCAGGAGCTGACGTAGGTTTAAAGTGGTCTTTAATATTCTATTCATTTTGCCTGGTGGCGTGAGTGCCTCACAGTAAACCAGGCATTTTTGTACTATTTATGCTTGCGCTAAGAGGGTGTAATATATTGCTATCCCTTTTTGCTTTGCTACCAATAAAACATTGGTGCTAATTTAACACCTAGCTTGACGAAAGACAATGATGCAACAATGTCTGCACAGTGTGGGAATACCAGGACTGAAAATTTTACAGAGTGCTGGCGTGACTGTAGTTAGCATCACAGGTTTGAAATTCATGGACTTAGCCTTACAATCATGAAAAAATTCAGATACTTCAGTCTTCACCTTGAGGTGCTAACACCTCACAAGTTGACTTAACTTGCTTTTCATGCCACCTTTTACAGACCGTAAATCTTTATAGGTGGGAAGGATAGTAGGTGGGCAGGGTTGTGAAGAAAGTTGGATGGATCCTTGGTCTCACAAATACTGCCATAGAATACAAAACCAAAATGGTGAGGCTTAACTTGTGCAAATTTTTAGTTAGACCGCAGTTAGAATATTGTGTCCTGTTTAGGTCACTCCATTTTAGGAAGGATTTCAGGGCCACAAAGAGGGTGCAGAAGAGATATATTAGGATAATAACAGGGATGAATGGTGTGACCAATGAGCAGAGACTAGGATCTGAACCTATTTTCATTGGAACACAGCAGGATGAGCCTGTTCCTCTCCCCCACTCCCAACACACTAAACACACACACACACACACAAAGACTATCACATACACACAATCACATGCATACACTCACACATAAACAGACCCTCACATGCACACAGTGATCATCACATACACCACCCCTCTTCTGCCACACAGTGACTGTCACACACACAGACACTCATACACACAGGCCCTATACACACAGTTACTGTCACACACACACAGACCCTCACAAACACACAAGTCATCACACTCATCCTCATATGCACATTGACTGTCACATAAACAGAGCATCACCCATATTGCAGGCTGTCATACACACACACACACCTAAAAAAAAAGACTGGTCCTTCAAAAAAGACATTAGGGAACGGTTCCTCTAATCCTTTTTAGCCCTTCAATGTTCTGGATCTTTAATATTCACCAACCTCCTATCTTTAAACATAAAACTGAAGTGAGGAGTTCTTCTGTTATGCACAGGGCATGAGTACACTACCCTTTACCTGAGCATGTCCATTTTCTAGGGCCTGAAATTCAACTTGGTTTAATTCTTTAGACCACCATCTAAAAATTTCAGATCTGCTCACAGAATTTTGGCAAAATCTTAAATTCAGTTATAACTTTGTATCTGTCCTTCTTCAGTTCATTTTAGAACTTGTAAAAGAAGGTTTCGAAATTTAGTTGAGTTTAAGAATTTTCCAAAATTCTGCAGGATATGAAATTTGACAACAATGGTCTTAAAACCAGATACCTTCAAATCTTAGTCTCCTAAATTTGAGTTTTTCTAGAATGCGAGATGGTTGTAATATTAACAATGCAGGATACAAAAGGTAAGTGCTGAGACCTGAAATACCTCTGTAATTACCTTCCACTTGAACAGCAAAATAATTCACTCTTGCTAACAGCAGGCTCTGAGGTTTGTGGTGAAAGAGCTTTAGATTACTCAACCGCCTCCAAATACTGTACATCAATCAGTCATCAGTCAGTCTGCAAACATTGCTAGAGTTAACTAAACCAACAAATAAGTGAATGGTGTGGTTGTAGGATATACACAGCCTAAACCTTAGTGACAAATGACATTGCAAGTGAGAAAAACATGACTGAAAACATAACACTGTACATGTGTTTACTCACAGGTACACAGCATATACTCAATGCATAATAATGAATACTACATACATATAATAAAAAAAAGTCAAATGTGTGATGGATTAATCCTCCCCCTCATCTTCATTTGCAAAATTAGCTCGGCTCTCAGTCCCATAAGGATCAATGCTACACCAAAATCGTTGGCTCATTAGATTATTGATGGATAACTTTTCATAAAGCAAATTGCATATCACACACACAAAAAATTAAACAACTAACCCCTGAAATGTCCTGCCAGGCTACAAACTACATTCTCTGATACCTTGAGGAATAATCTGGTCTACTGTAGTGAGGGCTTCAATATGCTTTGGTGGAGATGAAATGGGAGTAGTCAAGTCTGCTCCTTTTTCGCTTTGCAGCGTATATTCAAATACTCTACCTACAATTAGAATAGTACATGCATATGAGGTACTGAAAAGACTAGGAGCTGCATGACATGCAACCACAGCACTGGCACATCACCAGCCCACCCAGCTGGCCACAGCAAGACCCTTCAGATGGATATAAAATATTTGAGTTGTGCTGCCTTTTTAACAGAAGAAAATTAAAAGCTAAAAATGAGAAAACGCTTGTCAAATAAAACTAGCACAGCGTTCCCCCCTCCCTCCTCACTCCCTGCCACTTAACAATCGTCAATGTATTTTAAAAAAGCATAGGGATAAATACCACAATTCTTCTTAAGTGTCAAAATTATTACCCACTGAAAAAAATAACACTAGTTATTAGGAATCATGCAAATACCGTATCATGCTCACTTCAACTGTCCTTTTTTGTTCAATTGATTTAAAAAATTCAGTGCTTTTTAGGAAATATTTCTACATAGAGATCTGTGAGTCAGAGACTATGAACAACTGCTCATTCTAAGCTGTGGAAGGAGTTCCTTTTTTTTCTGCCATTTCCTATTGCTATGTTTGCCTCTCAGCATTGGCAGAGAGGCGGAAGTAACAATAGAAAATGATACCTGCACTGCACATGTGGGATGCAGATGACCCATTGTTGTGACAGACTGGGCTTTATCTGTTTATGCTTTTAAACAGTGCAGCACACTGATAGTTTGCCTTTAAGTTGGGCATGTTCAGAAAAAACCACAACTAAGGGTGTGACTTCACCAGGAAAGGGGGAAGGGGAGGGGGGGTAGGAAGGGAATCCATCGTCAACCGTACACAAGTTTAGTGAAGTGACGTGTAAAAGATATGTTTTGGCTATTTGGGCTGATTGTTGCCTAAGGCATGAATATTGTTCCACCTGTCCTGCTCACATTCCTCTTAACCTCCTAACCCTTCGAACAGACTCGCACTTCTGTTACACAGTCCCGTAGTGGTAAAAAGATTGTCCTGTTTTTCCTTGATTTTCAATATCGTGCCCATACTCATTGCAATAAATTAACAAAATACTGTTTCTCAATGGCGTGGATTTCAACTGTTATTTATGTTACCGATGTCTCTGCTGTGTAAATGACCGCAGCCAGACAGATCATGGATATGCACCAAAGAACAGTTAGGTCTATGAATAATTTGCAGTTAACAGGACAATGGATGTGCCAATAACTCAATGTACACACAGCACACCATGCAATCTTTGAAGATGAAGGCTGCATCAATGCGTCTCCCATTCCCAGCTTCATCCCAGGTGTAAGCAAGAACAATTATTTTCCAGAAAAAAAAGCATGACATTTTTGCAAGCTGCCTATGCCTGTGTACAGGGAAGTTAACACCACCAGCAGTGGTAGTGACCAGCAGTGCAGTGAAGCATAGCCTATGCAGATGGACCAAAAGGGGTGTTTGTAGTATTTATACACAAGCTATTGACTCTTCACAACTGCCAGTGACTGTCATGGAATTATTTTTGGGGGATATTTAATTTTTGCAGTATCTGTTTGAATATTAAGAAAATGCAGAAGCTTCTCTTCGTACATGGTCCGGTTATGTTCATAAAGATGGCTTCTACAGTTTCGTTTCCGCAGGAAGCACAGCTTGGCTTTGCATGAATAAATATGCTGCGTTTGATTGTCCTTTGAGCAAACTCCTTGACCTTTCCTGTGTTTCTGATTGCCTGGTGGAAGGATTACTGCTGATCTTCGTGGTTGGCGTAAATACCAGCTTCCCAGCGTAAAGCCATAGCGCTCTTCCGACGGGTTACCCGGGTAGCCTCGAGGACCTGCAAGTTGCAAGACTGAGAAGTCAGCGGACAGAATTCAACCATCAACAGACGTTAAACGTTGTTACCCTCCCTTTAGAGTGAACGCCTGTCAAGCTCACAGGTTACTTTGTTTATCTTATGGCTCCTCTTGAACATCCAGCTTTCAAAAAGATCCAGACCCTTGGATCCTACACTTTTAAATAATCCTGCCATGCTTCTTATCATTGTTTTCTGATATACTGAACTATATTCCTTTGAATGAATGGAACACTTCATGCATACAATGAAGATCAAAGAGATACAACAGAAATTCAAGCATTCAGTGAAGTGTCAATTCAGAACAACTCTGTAACTGTCTTAACATAGCCCTACTAACCCCACCCTCCATCCTAACTGCATACATACACACGGACACATGAATTAAATATTGGGTCTTCTAATTCTTACAATCCTTTGCTTCACTGCCTCTATGACCAATTGCCATATTCTTTCTAAATTTGGTAATTCGCACTTTAATGCTTTACAAACAATATGTTTTTCTTTCTCTCGCTCATTTTCTCACCCCCATTTCCCCCAAAGGTGTTTCACTCTTTTCTTTTTACATTGGGCACTGATCGCTCTCCAGTGCCCAATCATCACTCATGCCTTGACAGTGAATGTTGGCTGGCTGTTTGACTCAAGGTTTAACATGTCAATGAACAATGAACAGGAGCTTGAACCCTGGATAATTCTCTTCTCCCTACTTGAGACAATGGCAGGACCTCTTACGGTCACGTAGACTAAGATCATCTAACAGCGCAAGTGGGGAAGACAACAAAACGGATTGGCGGGTAGTGGATCTAACACAGTAATGAACGAGAAGGCCAGTGAGTGCGTGAAGAGATTTTGTCCATGCCAGTGATTGCCACAGCTCTGACTTCCACCTTGCTCAATAGTACAAACACTGGTTTGGCAAATCCCCAGCCGCATCAAAGTGTTTCTTATTCACTTCTGCTTCATTTCAAATTTGTCACCTCAGGGGTTGAAATAAAGGATCATTGTTTGTCACTTTGGGAAGGGATTAGGTGTGTAAATCAGGCAGACAGCATTACACAAACTAAAGATGGCACATTCTTTGTACTGGCTTATCGTAGGCTGGGTTGTAAAGTGGTACATGGCCACATGTTGAGATGTGATCTTGAGACATCCTCCTGCATCCTCTCTGAGCAGCTCTGTGGCATTAGGGGAACGTCAGAGACACAAACATTTATGTTAAATGGGGAAACTGAGCAAAGGAACAAAGTGGCATTGAATAAAAGTCGTTGAAAGAGCACATCAATCAGAGTTTGTTGAGGTCCAGTGTACGTAAATCATGAGAAAGAGGCCGCAATCTTGCTTTTTAAACAGTGGTTCATATGAATGGAGCACATGGGGTATTACTGTAATCTGGCAGTAATTATCAAGCTACCAACTCTAAGGTGAGTTACCCTGCAGTTCAGATAATAATAACAATTCAGGCTCCACTTCGCTCTAACAATGTATCTGAGATCCAGCCTCAGTACAGAGCAGCACTTTGCCCCATAACTGGGCTTATGGGACTCTCTAGTGGTCATATATTGCATTACATTGTGTTTGGAGTCCTGTAGCTCAGTGGTTAGAGCACTCGCTTTGCAAGTGAGAGACCTGAGTTCAATTCCAGGCAGAGGGCGAAATCTTGGGCAAGTTTCCTTACTCCACACAGAGCCTAATAATAATCCCTCCAAAACCCCAAAAAATGATAAATTGGTCATTTTCAATCTACGACTGTTTGTGGGACATTGCTGTGTGCAATTGGCTGCCGCGTTTGCCCACAAATATACAGTCAATTCACTTTACAGTGTGTTCTGTGAAGCGCTTTGGGACATCCTCCCGACGTGAAAAGTGCTATATCAAAAATGCAAGGATTATTATTATTAATGTTAATCTAACAATGTGAGTTTCAAACAAAAGCTCGTAATTTGTGGTGATAATGAACGTTGGGATTAAATTATTAAATACTGAAAATGACACCCCCCTCCATGTTTTCCACCAATTTGTGTGCTTGACCGCCCCCTGTGGGCAATGTTTGCGAAAGGTCCAGTGCTGGGGAGAGAACATGCTTCACAGATGTGAGATCATTGGGAGAATCGGATCAAACTAATGAACGGAAAAAAACAGAATTAATTGCTATCAACATCTCCATTATTGTAGCATGCGACTACCACGATGGTAGAAGATCCTCATCCTCACCTACAAGGCCATTCACGGCCTTGCTCCCTCCTACCTCTCCGACCTACTATCCCTCTACTTAACTGCCCGTACCCTCCGTTCCTCTGGCTCCGGTCTGCTCCACATCCCCCGCCCTAACCTCAAGGTCTCAAGACCTTTCTCTTCAACCGTGCCTTCAACTCCCCTCTCAACTCTCTACCCCCTCCTCGCTCCCTCCCTTCCCTCCTCTCACCCTGACCATTTCCCCCCTGCTCGGGTCCCGACCCAACTGTCCAGCGCCTTGGGACGTCCTCCCGACGTGAAAGGCGCTCTATAAATGCAATCTTGTTGTTGTCGTAGAGGGTGAACTAGATGGACCTTGGTCTTTTTCGCCCAGCAATTCCTATGTGGCAAGCTCCCTTGTGATCGTGACTGAATGAACAGTGAGTGACATAATGTCAGTCTCTCTGCTTCCATGTAAATTTACAGCACAGAAATTTGTGTTCCAATGCTGCAGTTGAAGGAGTGCTACTGAACCTGCTGAAAGCCATCACTTTACCACATGGAGACTGGAGCAAACACATTCATTGTCACGGTAAATCTGAATATGAACAGTCAGATCGCTCGGTGTCTCCGCTCCATCAGGAACAGAATCAGCTGTCGTAGCAGCTCCTGACCACGGCTGCTGCCTGGCTACCAAAGAAACACATGCTGACAGTGAAACCAATTGGACATCAACACAGAACACTCAGAATATCTACCCTGGGAATGACATGGGCTATTTCATGCTGGTCACCGTTTCACTTTGCAATTTTAGTTTGCTTGCTCTCTCATTTAGTGCATGAGGTATTAGCAATGACAAGAGTATGGGAGTCACAGGAGTACACTTAGAATAACCCACTTACAACAGCCCAATGAGGACCTCTAACTTTGTTCCTTGTGAAACACGTTGCTCCAGGGTTATTCTCATCTCCTTCAGCCTGGGTGAAATGATTCTTTTGTTAATAGCACGTAAATCAGGAAGCACAGGGTGGAGTGGAGGAGGGGGTAAGTATGTCAGCCTACGAGTACCGCCGGGTGATGCGGTGGTCCGGCAGGGTTGATTACTTGGTCACACATTTGGGTACCAGGCAGTACCACCAGGAATGGCTGGAATCAATGAGTGAGTTAAAAGAAGAAGCATGAGAGAGAGAGAGAGAGAGAGAGAGAGAGAGAGAGGTGGTGCAACCATTACAGAGGCTTGTAGTTAATTCATGAGGAAAAAAGGAATTGATTATTGGGTCAACTAATCAGAATTTGAGTCATTGCCCCTTTCAAACTCACTTTCCTGGGTTTCTCCTTCCGTGCGGATTACTCCACCTGTATGTACCACGTAAAACAGGGGGACATTACAATGGCAGAAAAGCATCGGAAAAATCTTCCTTAATTTATTCACTGAAGAACATGTATGTTCAGCGATACTACTGCATAGAAAAAATTATTTTCACTAGACCTCCTTTGATGACCTGACAAACTATGAGATGATAACTAACTTACCTGCAGCCAGGAAGCACAAGATAATTTAGGTCAGGATGCTAATATTGCTCTTATTTCCTCAGTCAGATTTTTGCACGTTTCCCCTTTTTGGGTGCTCAACGCAGCACTTTTTGCTTCCATTTCCTCACTGACAATTTGGTTCCGTTGTTCTGGAGCAGGCTTGTCCAATGCATCACATGTGGCAAATTGTAATCCAGATGTGGCAAAATTACATTTTTATTAGTAATTTAAAAATGAGTGTGAGTGATAGACACCGTTGCTGGGCATGCAATATCAATACTAATATTCGTATGGCGTGTACATGTGTATTTGACCTTTTTGTGAGTTTGTTCAGTGGCTAAAATGGTGTTGCTTCTGGCTAGTCAGCAATTTGTATTGGACAACACTGCTCGAGAGATGCTTAACTGTCCACGAGGCAACTCTTGCCAAAGAATTTTGATAATCGTTGCACCTCTCCAAAAGCATGAGAACATCGCAAGCTCATAGCGAGAGCTGAAACAGTTGAAAGTAGTTTGGCAGGACCCTGCCAGAGACAGAGTGATTCCAAACCTCTCTTGCTGCTGTAGAGTGGCTGCTCACTAGGATTAGACCGTAATCCACGTGCCCACTGCTGTGCTTTTGGTTATTCATTGGTAATATTTCACATGGATTATCCCACTCGTGTTGGTAAGTAAATAGGTTAATGTCCTGAGAGCTGTTTTCCGCATGGCCTGCCACGCTGAAGCTGACCAGGGTGTGCTTCAAGTCAACAAAAGGGGTCTATCATGCGCTGCAAGGAACCTTACCGCCCTCTGGCCTCAATATCAATTTCAACAATTTCAAATCATAATAGCTTACCTTCCACCCCCCACCCCTCTTCTGTGACCATTACCACATCACCTGGGTCCCAGACACACCTTTTCTCTCTCTGGTCTGCCTGTTTTGTTGAAATCTCCCCCTTTGTTTTGCATCATTAACACCTCTTTAACCCTGTCTTCTACCTTATTTTTTCCTTTGTCTTCCTTGCCCTGCCTCCCCCCTCTCTGTTAGTCCTTAAAAGCCTCTCCCTCCCAACATGCTCCAGTTCTGACGAAGGGTTGTGGACCCGAAACATTGACTCACTTTCCTTTCTCCATAGATGCTGCCTGACCTGCTGAGTCTTCCCAGTAACTTTTGTTTTCGTTTCTATCATGCGCCTGTTGGCTAACTTTTTTCTGTGCTTATGTAAAGAAACTCCTTTGAGTCTGAATGGAAATGATTGCTGATATAAGTTGGCTACACTAAAATGTCATACCTGAGCGAGTGGCATCAGTGTGATATTCCTGGTTCACCAGGTGACAGTGGTGGAGTCCGGATCTGACCGACTCTCTGCTGGTTCCACCTAGTCTCCTGGACCGACATGTACCTCGAGATCAGTGTCAGTGGACCAGTTTCAGAGCATGATCAGGTCTACAATGCTTTATCTGCCTGCGTTACTTGTAACACTATTTTAATTCCCAACACTATCACCTGCGACACTATCAGCATAAATATTCCCTGTTCCTTACATTGGGTTGATCCCGTTTCTCCCGCCGTTTAACCTTCTCCATCTCAAAGTCCTCCATCAGTGTCTCCATCAGCCCCCTCGAGCGGGTCTGTCCTGAACCATCCAGCTCTTGAGGTGTGGGATCTGGTTGGGGTGATGTTACCGGGGCTTCTGTAGTGGGCGAGGGTGGGCTGGATTTAAGCTTCTCGATTTTACCTGCAAAGAGAAGAGCTTAATCATTAAGCATAGCCTTTTCCTTGGGTGTTTAACCACACTTAACACAAGGGCAAGAGATTACAGGAATGTCTTGCTGAATGTTAACCCAACACCAACGGGGCCACAAATAGCACATGTTCAGATGTGGTATTTGTGGCCCCGTTGGTGTTGGGTTAATATTTTCAGATCATGCCAAACTATGGAAAACAATAATTGAGTATTTGTATGTGAGAGAAAGATATGTGTGTGCGTGGGAGGGAGAGAGAGAGAGCAGAGTGAGGCAGAGTGTGTGAGAGAGGGATAGAGCTAGAGAGGGAATAGTATGAGAGAGGCACAATGTGTGTGTGTGAGAGAGAGAACATTTTGAGAGAAAGGGCTAGAGATTGAAAGAGAGTGGGCAGGTGTATGTGAGGGAGCAAGACGGGTCAGAATGTGAGCAAAATGGGGGCAAAGTGTGAGAGGGGGGCAGTCAACAACAACAACAAGATTCCATTTATAGAGCGCCTTTCACGTCGGGAGGACGTCCCAAGGCGCTGTACAGTTGGGTCAGGACCCGAGCAGGGGGGAAATGCTCAGAGTGAGGGGAGGGAAGGGAGGGAGCGAGGAGGGGGGTAGAGAGTCGAGAGGGGAGCTGAAGGCACGGTCAAAGAGAAAGGTCTTGAGACCGGCCTTGAAGGAGGAAAGGGAGGAGGCGGCGAAGGCACTGGGGGATAGAGTTCCAGAGCCTCGGGGCTGAGAGGCTGAAGGCCCGGCCACCGATGGTAGGGCGGTTGGGGCGGGGGATGTGGAGCAGACCGGAGCCAGAGGAAGGGAGGGTAGGTAGGGGGATAGTAGGTCAGAGAGGTAGGAGGGAGCAAGGCCGTGAATGGCCTTGTAGGTGAGGATGAGGATCTTGAATCAGTCAGAGATTCTCGAGTCAGAGAGAGAGAGGGCCATAGTGTTAGAGAAAGGAGCAAGTGTGAGAGGTGGGCACAGTGAGAGAGAAAGCACAGTATGACAGAGGGGTACAGTGTAAATAAAAGGAGATAGTGTGTGTGAAAGAAAGGTGGAATGTGATAGAGAGTGGGAGAGAGACAGTGAGGGGGGGGGTTGTCAAAGTGTGACAGACACAGAAAGAATGCCTGGTACAGTGTGTTACTACAGAAATAGTAGTGTGTTAAACTCCTGATGGAACATATTTTTAGTTAGAGCTATTTGTGTATTGTGTGGAGTCCAATTATCCCCACTCTTTGTTTCTCCACACTGGGGTCAGTCCCAATCTATGTGGATAAATGAGCTCTTAACTGCATCTCCATCAGGAGCTCTCGGAAACTACTTTGTGTTGTCTTTAGGTGTGTGTCTCTCAAGCTATTTTGTTGTGTTGTGGTTTCTCACAGCTGTCAGCAGAGGACACTCAAGAAGCAGTTCTGTGTTAAAGAGGTGGGGCAGGAACTTGCAGCCCAGTTTCGTCCCCAGTATTAAAGTATATTAAGTTCACTGCAGTTGATGATTGATCAGCACTTCTATTGAAAGAGTCCTTCAATAATACACCTGCGAGACAGTCCAACTCTCTAATTAAAACCACCTGGAGTGCTATTTTAAAAACCCACATTGTACTATTTTGCAATCCACTTTTGCAGTTAGGAACATAGGAACAGATATAGGCCATTCAGTCCCTTGAGCCTGTACAACCATTCTATTGGATCACGGCTGATCTGTACCTCAACTCCAATTACCTGCCTTTGCCCCATATCAATTGATACCCTTACCTAACAAAAATCTAGTGGAGTCCTGTAGCTCAGTGGTTAGAGCACTCACTTTGCAAGTGAGAGACCTGAGTTCAATTCCAGGCAAAGCGAAACCTTGGGCAAGTTTCCTTACTCCACACAGAGCCTAATAATAATCCCTCCAAAACAAAACAATAATTGGTCATTTTCATTCTACAACTGTTTGTGGGACATTGCTGTGCGCAATTGGCTGCCGCGTTCGCCCACAAATATACAGTCAATTCACTTTACAATATATTCTGTGAAGCGGTTTGGGACATCCTCCCGACGTGAAAAGCGCTATATCAAATGCAAGGATTATTATTATATTATTATTATCCACCTCAAGTTTTGAAAATGTCAATGGATCCAGCATCCAAAACCTTTTGGGTTAGAGAGTTTCAGATTTCACTACACTTTGTGTGAAAAAATGCTTCCTGATTTCATTTCTAATTGGCCTAGTTCTAATATTACGATTATGCCCCCTTGTTTCTGGATTCCCCAACCAGAGGAAATAGTTTCTCTATATCTACACTATCGAATCCCTTTATTATTTTAAAAACCTCAATTAGATCACCCCTCCTCCTTCTAAACTCAAGGGAATACAGACCAAGTTCATGCAACCTGTCCTCATAATTTAACCCTTTAAGCCCTGGTATAATCCTGGTGAATCTGTGCTGTACCCCCTCTTCAAGCTTCCTGAGGTGCGGTACCCAAAACTGAACGCAGTATTCCAGTTTCTTAATAAACCTTGTTGTGTAACACATGGGCAGTGGTTTCTAACAACATTACGTTGTAGTGTTCAATCATTGAGAATGTTCTTCTAGTGGAGCTGATATAATTTGTATAAAAGAGGGCCTTGCCAGTACATTTAGTTCTGAGTTTTCATGTGCACAATCATTTCTGTGGCGGTATCTGACAACCCAAGAATGTTACCCAAAGATTATTAACAATAATAATCCTTGTATTTGGGATAGCGCCTTATTACATCATTAAAACTTCTCAAAGCATCCACTGTATCCTTCACAGGATTTACTGCAAAATGCGTGCCTGCATATTTGTAGACTAAGGAAATAATGTGGTTATAGATTTCTGTGTGGCTTGCACTGAAATCGTTTCTACCCCCAGGCACATAGCACTGCAGGCTTCATGCTGGTCATGGGAACATGTTGTTGATGTAGTAAATCATGTGCCACAGCAATATTCTGAGTTTATATTAACTGGTGACTAACTCACATCACGGATTAGTCTGGGAGTAGGACTCTTATATACAAATGTCGATTTGCTGAAGTTCATGAATTATCCAGCAATACACACTACTATGGAGTCAGCCAGGAATCATGTGCAAATTGATGTCTGAAAACATACAACACTGATGGCATAAGCTAAACTTATCTTGCAAAAATTAAGCATACTGGCACTCAAAGTCCATTATTGTCAAAAAGAGGACACCAAAATGAATAAAACACTGCATTGGGGATCTCCCAGTATCTTGGTGGTTACAATCATATAGACAGAAATTTATAGTGTCTGAAGTAGAAATGTCTGTCTATGAAACTTTATAGTGCCTCAGGTTCACAAGTCAGTGTAGTGAAAGTTTTTGTGGACAATCCAACAGTTTTTCACACTAGCCAGGTCCTGGTTGATAAATGTTCAATTCATCTGGAAGATTGTTGGCCAGGACATCAAGAAAAAAATACCTTTCTCCTATTTCAATAGTGCCATGGAATCTTCAATGTCCACCTTAATAGGCAGACCTCAGTTTGACCTCTCGACCAAATGTAACACTTTCAACCTCATCCTAATGTAATAATAATAATAATAATCCTTGCATTTGATATAGCGCTTTTCACGTCGGGAGGACGTCCCAAAGCGCTTCACAGAACACACTGTAAAGTGAATTGACTGTATATTTGTGGGCGAACGCGGCAGCCAATTGCGCACAGCAATGTCCCACAAACAGTCGTAGATTGAAAATGACCAATTTATTATTGTTTTTGGTTTTGGAGGGATTATTATTAGGTGTGTGGAGTAAGGAAACTTGCCCAAGGTTTCGCGCTGCCTGGGATTGAACTCAGGTCTCTCGCTTGCAAAGCGAGTGCTCTAACCACTGAGCTACAGGACTCCACAATGTACAAGAATATCAGAGTAGATCATGAAATCAAGTCACACTGTGGGTTGTGGCTTGAACCCACAGCCTTCACACCCAAAGTGTGACCAACTGAGCCAAGCAAGTAAACCCTGTCTTATCCTGAGCCATACAAATTATGAAGGGGCCAATGTGCCAGCTAGCCTGTACTGGGTTTACTCATCTCAGTGCACTTAGGTCAATACAGCTACAAACTGGTGTTGATCCCAAAGAGGTTCTGATCCATTGAAAAGCTTATTGGAGAATGGATACTGTGTGAATACAGATTGCTAATGTAGTTGATGACATAGCTAGGACTACATTATGTATATCCACAACACCTTGCAGATTTCACTGGATGTTTGGGAGGGGCAGAAAACATAAAGATAGCTGCCCTTTATACCAGCTCCTGTAACCAATGGTACAGCACTGCTTAGAAGCGCTGCTGATTAAATATACCAAAACTGAATGCGAGATCGATCTGACCAGGTTAGACCATGTCTCATGGAACAGTGTAAGTAGTCAAGGCTCCTCTATAATCTACCACCATCAGCTGTTGCCTAAATAAGTGCTGTTATGTGTGATGGAATTCTCTTGCATTATCTGATCTCTGTCTACAATATGGTAAAGAGGGGAACAAGCTTCTAAATGGTGAGTCACCAACGTTTTAACCAAAGTTGGTAAGATGGAGGCCCTCCTGCTTGAATCTTGGCAGCGCCTACATACCTCAGCCGCTGACATTATCACTATTCATGGCTGTACTCTTTACCTCATCAAGCCAATACAAAACCTTGGTGTCCTTTTTGACCCGCAGCTATCCTTCAAACCCCACATTTGTGCCGTGACTTGTTCCGCCTTTCCTCACCCCCGCAACATTGCCCACCTCCGCCATTGCCTCTCACCGCAGGCTGCTGAGACCAATCCACGCTTTCATCACATCCCAACTTGACTCCGCCAACGGCCTGGTTGCTGGACTTCCCAACTCTTCTCTCCACAAGCTACAGATTAGTCAAAACTCTGCAGCTCATGTCCTCTCCGACACCAGGCTCCGCGAACCAATCACCCTCTTCTTGCCCATCTTCACTGGCTCGCCATCCCTCAGGGAGAATCGAGTAAAAAACCCTTGTTCTTACCTTTGAAGCCCTCCATGGTCTTGCCCCCTCCTATCTCTCCAACCTCCTACCCCAAATCAGCCTTTCCGCTCCCTCAGGTTGGTGGATACCAACCTCCTTCAGATCCCCTGGACTTTCCACCCCATCATTGGTCAACAGGCATTCAGCATCTCTTGTCCCACACTCTGTAACTCTATCCCACAATCCCTCTGCCTCACCCCTTGATGAGAGCATTGACATCATGGCCTTAACGGAAACCTGGCTCACCCCAGGCGACATCTTCCCCCTCACAGAGGCCACACCACCCGGCTACACCTCCCACCACATCCCTCGCCCCAACCGCCGTGGCGGTGGTGTAGCCCTTATCTCAAGGACACCACTTGCCCTATCCCCCTACTCCTCTGGCTCTTTCCCCTCTTTCGAGCACCTCACCCTCTCCCACCCCTCCTTCCTCTCACTCAAAATCCTCCTCCTCTACCGGCCCCCTAAAACCTCTCCCACCTTCATCTCCGATATTTCGACACTTCTTACATCTCTCTGCCCCTGCTCTGATCGCCTCATCATCCTGGGCGACTTCAACCCCCTCCTGCTCCATCTCCTCAGATTTCTCTTCCCTGCTCTCCTCGCTCAACCTCTCCCTCCACATCAACTCCCCCACTCACAGTCACGGCCACCCACTCGATTTGGTGATCACCCGGGGCCTCAGTGTCTCGGATGTCACTATCACCGACAAGGCCGTCTCCGACCACCACTTCATCTCCTTCACCACCTCCACCCCCTCCCCACCTCCACCAGACCCACCACCATCTTCTACCGCCCCTGGAAGAAGTTACCCCCACAATCCCTAACCGCTGCCTTGGAGTCCTCTGAACTCCTCTCCCTCTGGCCTTCAACCCTCACTGACCCCTCTTCTCCTCTCACCCTCCTCCACAACACCCTCTCCTCCACACTCGACACTCTTGCCCCCATCACCTCTCGTACTGTCTCCTACTCTCGCTCCTCCCCCTGGTTCACCACCCACCTCCGCTCACTGAAGAGCCAGGTGCGGGCCGCTGAACGCACCTGCGTCAAATCTGGCCTAACGGTCCACCGACAAATCTGGCTGAACTTCCTCAAAATCTACCACTCCACTCGGCCAAGTCATCCTTCTACTCCAGGATAATCCTGGAGGCGAAGAACAACCCCAGGCTACTGTTTTCTACCACATCCCGACTCCTCCGTCCCCCCCGCCACCCCGCGCAGGTCATCTCCTCCAACCTTCACTGCGAGGAGATGCTGGATTTCCTTGAATCCAAAATCAAGGGAATCCGCTCCGCGGTCACTTCCCCTCCAACATCCACCCACCCCCACCCCCTCCCTCCCACACTCCGACTCCTACCCATCCTCCCCTACACATTTTCGTACCCGTTTCCCCACCCTCTGTCACCAAACTCATCCTATCCCTGAAACCCACCACCTGCTCCCTTGACCCCATCCCCACTCCACTCCTTATCTCCCAGCTCCACCTCCTTGCCCCACATATCACAGACATCGTCAACCTGTCCCTCTCCTCTGGCTCTGTTCCCATTCCCTTAAAAACTGCCACCATCACTCCCACCTTGAAAAAACCCTCCCTTGATGCGTCGCAGCTATCAAGCTACCGGCCCATCTCCAACCTCCCCTTCCTGTCCAAGGTCCTGGAACGAGTTGTCGCCTCCCAGCTGCGCTCTTTCCTCTCCACCCATTCATTATTCGAACCCCTTCAGTCAGGTTTCCGTGCTGCCCATAGCACACAAACCGCCCTGGTCAAGGTCACCAATGACATCCTGACCATCTGCGACCAGGGCTCCCTCTGCCTCCTCACCCTCATCGACCTATCGGCAGCATTCGATACGGTCGACCACGCTATCCTCCTCCACCGCTTGTCCTCCCACCTCAACCTTCAAGGCCCTGTCCTTGAGTGGTTTAGTTCGTACCTTTCCCACGGTTTATACTTTGTTTCCACGAATGGCTTTTCCTCCACCCCCCGCACTGTCTCGTGTGGTGTCCCTCAGGGCTCTGTCCTCGGTCCCCTCCTCTTCACCCTCTATATGCTCCCCCTTGGTGACATCATCCGCAGACATGGGGTTAACTTCCACATGTATGCGGATGACACCCAACTCTACCTTTCCTCCTCTACCCTCAACTCCACGACCACCGATGTCCTGACAGCTGCCTGTCCGACATCGAGTCCTGGACGAGAGACAACTTTCTTCAGCTCAACGTGCGTAAAACTGAGGCCCTCCTGATTGGCTCACGTCAGCGCCTCCGCACCTCAGGCGCTGACAGCATCGGAAAGCAAGGCTGCACTCTCCACCTCTCAAAGCCAGTCAGGAACCTCGGGTTCTGTTCGACCCTGAGCTGTCCTTTCTCCCTCACATCCGCACCACAACTGGCACCGCCTTCCATCACCTCCGGAACATCGCCAGACTACGGCACTACCTCACCCCTCACGCTGCTGAAACCTGGTCCACGCCTTTATCACCTCAAGGCTGGACTATGGGAACTCTCTCCTCGCCGGCCTTCCCGCCACCTCCCTCCACAAGCTGCAGGTCATTCAGAACTCTGCAGCTCGTGTACTGTCCCGCACCAGGCTTCGGGACCACATCACTCCCACCCTCGCTCGCCTCCACTGGCTCCCCATCCCCCAGAGGATCGAATTCAAGATCCTCATCCTCACCTACAAGGCCATTCACGGCCTTGCTCCCTCCTACCTCTCCGACCTACTATCCCCCTACCTACCTGCCCGTACCCTCCGTTCCTCTGGCTCCGGTCTGCTCCACATCCCTTGCCCCAACCGCCCTCCCATCGGTGGCCGGGCCTTCAGCCTCTCAGCCCCGAGGCTCTGGAACTCTATCCCCCAGTGCCTTCGCCGCCTCCTCCCTTTCCTCCTTCAAGACCGGTCTCAAGATCTTTCTCTTTGACCGTGCCTTCAGCTCCCCTCTCGACTCTCTACCCCCTCCTCGCTCCCTCCCTTCCCTCCCCTCACCCTGACCATTTCCCCCCTGCTCGGGTCCTGACCCAACTTTACAGCGCCTTGGGACGTCCTCCCGACGTGAAAGGCGCTCAATAAATGGAATCGTGTTATTGTTGCTGTTGTTGTTGTTTGGCCAAGCCCTGACTGTCCATCACCCTGGGACGTCTTTCTGATGTGAAGGGTGCTATACAAGTGCAATTTGTTGTTGCTGAGTCAGAAGGTTGTGAATTCAAGCCCCATTTTGGGACTTTGAACTCATAGTCAGGGCTGGCAGTGCTGGGGAAGTGCTGCATTGTTGACAGTGTCGTCCTTCGGATGAGATATTACACAGAGTCTGCCTGTCTGGATGCACATTAAAGATGTATTTCGAAAAGAGAAGGAAGTTTCTCCCAGTGTCCTGGCCAATGAATCCACAAATAAAATTGTTCGCTCAAATTGGCTGCTGGCTTAGAGCCTGAGTCACTCCCGGCCATTGTTGGCCGTTGACCCGGTCATCCCTCCTCTTCACTAGTGGCAATGGGAGGCTTTCATATCAGAAGAATGTGACTCTTCCCCCCCCACCCCGTCCCCCCGCCATCCCGCAATATTTCATTTCCTGTGTCCTGTGTAGGACTGGAAAGAACGTGACATTTTAGTAGGAAAACTGACATTTATTGCCGATGACTTCACTCTGGCTTTGTGACAAGTCCTGTAAGTGGGAGTTGTCTGACTGCCAGCAAGAAATACTGAACTCAAACACTTAGCAAAATTAAACTACTCAGTTTATTTGACTGAGCAAAGCAAAACGTTATTAAGGCTGTGTTTACACTCACACCGAGAGAAGTGATCCAGCTCACTCCAGCTCCAATCAAAGGACATAGTGCCCATTACAAGACATGTCGTAGAATAGGGACAGGAGTAGCCATTTTGCCCATTGAGTCTGTCCATGGATTTCATCAGGATCTACGTGGCCAAACCTGGATTTGAGTGCACAGCACAACACCTACAGAGGGATTAAGAGTCCTACCTGGAGTTGTCTTGGAAGCGCATCCTGACGGCAGGTTGAATTTAGTGGGGCTCTGCACAGTCCGTACTGCCTGCCTTTGGCGTCTCAGCTCGTCTTCTCGCTCCTGGGCTGCTCTGATTTCCTGCTCAATCATTGACAGTGTTTTCTGTTTGCGGGAGCGCAGCTTGAAGGGTCCGGTCTGTGCGATGACTTCAGGTTCCTGCGGGTGGCTGACAAACACATTATTTTTGGAATAATCTGGCGGTTGCAGGTAGTTAGCGTTGTCGCTGAAAGGGCTGAATTCTGGCCGGTACAGCGAGGGCTGCGACACAGCGTTGGTCTCCGTGACGCTGCTCTGCTCAGCTGCCTCAGGAAGCTGGAAGCAACTCTTCTCCTCGTGCTCTGGCAGCTCCTGCAGTGGACTCTTTGGTGTGCAGTTTTTATGCTCCTGCAGTGGAGCTGCTGTTTGTGGTTGGTTTGATGCCGGAGCCTGGGCTTTACACGCAGAATTGAGGTCCATTCTCTGTTCCACTAGCACTGGCTGGTTCTGGGACACATCTTCTGTATGATTGTTTGTGTGGTTTTCCTGTGCAAGAGCAAGCTGAATTGCGTTCTGCACCACAATTTCTGCCTGATACTGGAGCTGCTGATCTGAATCCAATGCGAGCGAGTAGGGCTGACCGTACAACCCATTGTCACTGCACTTCAAAATCCCTTCTCTCTTATAAGTGCTTTCCTCTTTATCCGCATAAAAGCCATGTTCCCTGTCAACAGGGTTTATGGCTTGGGGTGTTGCTGGCTGTGAAAACTCTTGTGAGCCTCCCAGCGAGTGGTCCAGGGAAACATTCATGGTTTCATTTGAAGCCCCACTGTCACTGATATTGTCAATACTAAAGTCATTGGAAAGGGTTTCCAGCACTGTCGTGTCCTGGGATCGGAGGGATAGATCATCCAAGCCAGAATCCAGTTCCTCTGGAGGTACAGGAATACTAACAGATGTTGAATAATGGTCAGAAATATCATTGTCATCATCATCATTTAGAACCGTCAACACAGCCCTTACTCTGGTAAATCCTTCGTCGTCTACCAATCTGTTGCTGACTGTATCATGTGTTGCATTGACAGTGATGCACTGGTCGGGGGAGATTCGGAGTCTTTGCCCCACGTCCCACTCTTCCTTCTGTGGTGTAGATTGTGGTGATACAGAAATCCTTTCAATTCCAGATTCTTGCCCCTCTTCAGGTACAAAACTGACTTTGCAAGCTTTGACCACAGTTACTTCAGTTGCTTCTATTTGCACTGCCTCCCTTTGGAGAGGGGCTGACTCACTTACTGTAACCGAAGCCACATTCCTTCCCTTCTTGGGCGGTTCTGACATCTTTACCACCGGCTTTATAGAGACCCCTTTAGTGGTTAATGGTCGCTTGTGCATGTACTGTGTACTGGGCTGAGACGTATTCTCCATCATTAAAAACTGTCTTCTGGCTGCAGAAAAGTCTATCTGTTCTGTGACAATGTCCTCTCGGTTGATATTGATAGGCTCGGGTGCTACAAACACGTGGTGTTTGTGTTTGGGAGACACCGGGGACAGACCTCCATCCTGCTTCTTCTGCTTACGTTCCGCGTACTTCTTGTGCGATTCAAGCTTATCCGGATCTAGATGGGCCTCCATTGGCTTCTCTTGCGGGGGATTCCACTTTGCTGCAATACTCGGGTTCTTCTTCACGGCCTGACTTCTAATGACTTCCTGCCTCGCTCGTTCCAGTTCTGCTATTTCATCGGATGCTCTGGTTTTCTTAATCTTGTAGGTTTCCTTTCCATCGTCGTCGTCAAAAAGCTTGGAGGGTTTTTTGTCTTCATGATAGGCTCGGAGCTCAAACTTGGCTTCTTTTTTCAGGGTGATCATTGCCACCTCTCCATCCTTCGAAAACCTCCTGGAGCTGTCTATCTGCTGCTCCTTTGCCACATTGTTCAACTCAGGGCTAGTTTCCACCTTCCTGGTACTTGGAGAATGTCCATTAGACTTAACCTCATCCGCCTTCTCCATGTGGATGAAAGCTGGCTCTTTTCTGACAACGGTTATGACATTGCTGGCAGCTGACACTGGACTATCTGACGTCACACTAACAGATGGATCGTGCCCATCCACTGCGATTGAAACTGGCTCGCAAGGTGCCGCTGTGTTTGAGCCATTCTCCACCACGGACTCGCAGCAGTTAGATTCTAGAACTTCATCCAGATACCTGATCTCTTTGGCCACATCGCTGTCCAAGGATTCATCTCGACTCTGAATGCCATTTCGCCCTTTGTTAACAAAGTGATCGGTTTGGTTACCTCCAACAGCAGGCTCTGTTACAGTGACCTTTGGGGTGATGACGGTAACACTCTTTGATCCCTGAAGCTGCTCTTCGATCTCCATTTTATTTTCTTCTCCAGGAATTACAGGAAGAGTGTTTGGTGGATCTGCTTGTTTCCTGCTCTTTTCTTTTCTCAGTTCAGTGGCATTCTCTAGGAGCCTGGGCGCAGATTTCTGAGAGAGAAGAATGGGGAGATGACCATTAAGGAAGGCTTCTTAATGAATTCCAGTCAATTCACTTTACAGTACATTTTGTGAAGCACTTTGAGACGTCTGAATGACGTGATAAGGCACTATATCAAATGCAAGGATTATTATTATTTATACTATTAGCCCAGATATTCTACAACTCTGCTGCACTGCAAAGGTGAACCAATTCATTCACACTTTTTTACTGATATTCGCAATATTTCTCACACTCAGATACCAATCTCAAAATATTTCAATACATCTCTGATATATGTCTTTTATAACTGAGATACAGATATTTAAAACTTCATTGACTGCTAAGCGAACATCCGACCCCTACAGATACAATACAATTTACATATTCAGACAGAGTGGCAGATGGTTCTTGACACGACCCCACTCCTTACGTGCATGTGTGAACACTGGATGTGGTCAGGATCAGATCTGGTTTTGATGCCTCCGCACCATGTTTCCCCCACTCACCCACGCACACACAACCCTGTCAAATATCTTGCCAATACACTCACTGTCAACTCTTGCATATAAATAAATGTCAATTGGGCAAAATATTGAAGAAGCTATACTTCCTGAAAACGTAAAAGGAATCGAGTGCTTTCAAGAGAGAAATAAATTTATGAAAAGGGTTCAAAGTTGCAATTTTCTTAACCACATTCCATTCCTTAATCATTGCTGGAAATAAATGTGGAACATCACAGATATAAGAGTTGAAAACACGCTCTTACCAAACACCACACTTTAGATTTTACCCATCAGATGGGTTGTTACACATGAAGTCTATTTTGCCTGCCTTAATCACATTCCATTCCTTACTCATTGCTAGAAATAAATGAGGAAATTCACAGACATAAGAGTTGAAGACATGTCCTTAACAAAAATTCACACTAAGTCTTTACCCAGCAGATGAATTATTAAACACAAAGTCTCTTTGCATGCTCAGGTGGACGTTAAAGAACCCGTGGCACTAGTTAAAAAGAGAAGAGTGTTTCTCATGATGTCCTTGCCAGGTATCACCGAGATACGTGATTGGTCATTCACTTCATGATTGTGGAACTTGCAGTGCGCAAATTGTGCTTTTGTCGGCAAATGCGTTCTTCAGTCACTACACTTAACAGCAATTACTTGTGAAATATTCTGAGGCATTTTGACATTAATATCAAAGATAAGTACAGTATCATTATTCAAATTTGACCTCCTTGCTTCCACCAACAACATCCCCTGTCTGGCACCAGCTGCATAGAAACAAATGACTCTTGTAGACAATTTTTCACCTCAGTCTCCATCTACCCCAATATGCTTCTTCAGTTCAATATTCAAAGGGGTTAATTGTTTCAGTGTTCACTGTTGGGAATCAATTCCACTTATCCATTACTCTATGGGGAACACCAATTCTTGTCTCCAGTTTACATGAGGCTATTTCATTTCAAGCTCCTGCCCTCTGGTTCTCCAAATGCCATTTGTGATGTGGTACTGATAGATAGGACACTAATAAATTGCACTGAGGTTACTGGAGTGATTCCAAGAAGCCTGTTATACAAGCATGTGGAGATTAAAACAAAGCTATTTGTAGGGCCTGTGAACCCTTAATCTCATTGAAGGATGTAGCATCTGATCTGATATTGAAGCCAGGAAGTTTATTTCGGTAGAGCGAATGCCTGCGTACTGATCACGATATATTTTGAAAAAATGCGGCATTCTCAAACTGCAAGTCGCTGCATTTATTGTGGCTTTCGGGCTGCACCTAAAAGTTGTGCAATTTACTTCGTCCTCCTGTTCTGGTGGACGTTAACAACCCCATGGCACTATTCGAAAAGAGAAGGGAGTTTCACCCTGGCAAACAATCCCCTAATTAAAATTGGCCGCTCACTTCATGACTGTTTATGGGACATTGCTGTGGACAAGCTGGCTGCTGTGTTCTCCCACAAAATACACAATCAATTCACTTTACAATATATCCTGTGAAACTCTTTGAGACCTCTCAATGATGTGGTAATTGTTATATCAAACGCAAGTATTATTATTATGACAAACTCTGACTCCCACAAACGTAGGCAACAGCCGTTTCACTTTACAACCTTTGGCTAGACATTTGGGGCATTTTCTTGGCTGAAAAAAAGAGCTTGAATTAAGTTCAGAAAGCAAAATGCTGTTTGCAAAATTGTTTCAGAATTGCAATATTCTGCATTTTCTAAGTGAATTTCACCAAGAAAAAAAATCAAAAGCGATTAAAAAAATCTCTTTATATTCACTCCTGAACCTGCTGATACAAAATAATAAAAATAACAATACTCCTTGCTTTTGATATAGCGCCTTATCACGTCTTCGAAACATCTTAAAGTGCTTCACAAAATTTACTGTAAAGTGAATTGACTGTATCTTTGGTGGGTAAAACGCGGTAGCCAATTGTGCACAGCAGTGTTTCACAAACAGTCATGGATTGAGTGACCAAATTATTATTTTTAAAAATATATATATTTTTTAAGCAATTATTACCCCCAGAAAAGCGATCCGCCAATCGACTAATAAGTGGGTTCCTACTTATTGCTAGGTAAACAGAGATGTTTAATTCCAGGCAGGGCGAAACCTTGGGCAAGTTTCCTTACTCCACACAGAGCCTAATAATAATCCCTCCAAAAACCAAAAACAATAATAAATTGGTCATTTTCAATCTACGACTGTTTGTGGGACATTGCTGTGCGCAATTGGCTGCCGCGTTCGCCCACAAAAAGTCAATTCACTTTACAGTGTGTTCTGTGAAGCGCTTTGGGATGTCCTCCCGACGTGAAAAGCGCTATATCAAATGCAAGGATTATTATTATTATTATTATGTGCGGAGTAAGAAAACTTGCCCAACATTTCACCCTACCCAGGAATCGAACCCAGATCCTCTTGCTTGTGAGGTGTGTGTTCCAACCACTGAGCTGCAGGACTCCACGAGAGTAATGAAAGACAGGTTTGGATCATAATTTTCAGTCATGTGACAATAATCAGATTATTTTAACCCTCTCCCTCTGTGTGTGTGTTGACTATACCTCGTGCTGGTCAGGAAAGGGATCCAGAAGTTAGAGTGGACAAATTATAATAGCAGAAAATGTTGCTTCAATAAACCAAAAGGCAAATAAGATAATACTAGAGATTGCATTAATAGTTCAAATCAAAAGAAGTCACTTTGTTTCTGTATCTGGTTGTAAACTAATCTTAGAAAGGATATTAAAGTCCTTGAGATATACTCAGATGAGCAGACAAACGGAGGGTACGGGCAGGTAGGTAGGGGGATAGTAGGTTGGAGAGGTAGGAGGGAGCAAGGCCATGAATGGCCTTGTAGGTGAGGATGAGGATCTTGAATTCGATCCTCTGGGGGATGGGGAGCCAGTGGAGGCGAGCGAGGGTGGGAGTGATGTGGTCCCGAAGCCTGGTGCGGGACAGTACACGAGCTGCAGAGTTCTGAATGACCTGCAGCTTGTGGAGGGAGGTGGCGGGAAGGCCGGCGAGGAGAGAGTTCCCATAGTCCATCCTTGAGGTGATAAAGGCGTGGACCAGGGTTTCAGCAGCGTGAGGGGTGAGGTAGTGCCATAGTCTGGCGATGTTTCGGAGGCGATGAAAGGCGGTGCCAGTTGTGGTGCGGATATGAAGGAGAAAAGACAGCTCAGGGTCGCACTTTGAGAGGTGGAGAGTGCAGCCTTGGATGCTGATGCTGTCAGCGCCTGAGGTGCGGAGGCGCTGACGTGAGCCAATCAGGAGGGCCTCAGTTTTACGCACGTTGAACTGAAGAAAGTTGTCTCTCGTCCAGGACTCGATGTCGGACAGGCAGCTGTCAGGACATCGGTGGTCGTGGAGTTGAGGGTAGAGGAGGAAAGGTAGAGTTGGGTGTCATCCACATACATGTGGAAGTTAACCCCATGTCTGCGGATGATGTCACCAAGGGGGAGCAGCCTAGGGGCTGAGAGGCTGAAGGCCCGGCCACTGATGGTAGGGCGGTTGGGGCGGGGGATGTGGAGCAGACCGGAGCCAGAAAAACGGAGGGTATGGGCAGGTAAGTAGGGAGATAGTAGATCGGAGAGGTAGGAGGGAGCGAGGCCGTGAATGGCCTTGTAGGTGAGGATGAGGATCTTGAATTCGATCCTCTGGGTTTGGGGAGCCAATGAGCAAGGGTGGGAGTGATAGCCAGTGGAGGCGAGGGAGGGTGGGAGTGATATCAGTCTTCTTCTTGGGATCCATCGCATTAAATACAAGTGTAACTTTAAATGGATGGAATTGGTCTGCCCCTAATCCCTGCCTCAAGTCCTACCATCAAATCTCACTTGAAGACCTATCGTGCCTGTGGTGACACTTCCCCACTCACACACCTTGCTCAGGTCCAACCCCACCATGGTACAACACTCTGAGACACTATCCTGGTGAAGGGTGCTATATAAATGCAAGTTGTTGTGAAGGTTCAAATTATTCACGGTTTATAGTTAGAATCCTAAATTTCCCAATATTAGTGTCTGTATGTAACATGCAATCATATAACTTGAACAGTATTTTCTCTCAAGTCAAGAAAGTCTTTAAATATTGTTATAATTCTGTTTAAATAAATTCTATATATATATGAGTCCTGTGTTCCAAGAAAAGGCACAATACAGTATCTGTTGCAAGCTGCTATATTTTTTTTCACTGAGTCATTTCAGTTTCCATTTTTGGACAAAAGTAGAATAAAATCTGAGATATATTTAGCAATTTTTCTAACTAAAAATAACAAAGTACTCATAAAATTGTCCCCAAGGAGCTAAAGGATAATTGAAAAAAAAACAACAGGGTTAATGACTATAGCTTAGGCTGGAGGGGATAGTAAAATAGATTTGAACGTCGTGATCTAGCGAGACCAAACTGTAAATGTAACTTTAGAGTAAGTGGTTCAGTAAGTCCCCATGCATCAACAGTAGAGGTGCTGTATTATTACAGTATAAACCAACCAGTTCAACTTG